ATATATATATATATATATATATATATACAAACATACTTAGAAGTACTGACATATGTAGCCTAGGTTCTATACTGTGGAGGATGGGTGGACGGACGGACGGACAGATGGAAGGACGGATAGATAGATAGATAGATAGATGGATAGATAGATAGATAGATAGATAGATAGATAGATAGATAGATAGATAGATAGATAGATAGATAGAGTGAAAAAAAAGTTTGAGAAACCTCCAAGACAATTTCCTGTTTACTTGCCAAGATTATATTACTGGTAAATCCTTCAGTTAGCAAAATACAATGTGATTCTGTGATTGGCACCTCAGAAAACGTATTTTTGCCCTGTGGTGCTAGAGAGAAATCCAGGCATCCTTAATCAGTGGCCTTTTTGATGATACCTAGTAAAATCAGTCATCTAGCCAAGAAGCTAAGGAAATGAATCAGCCTTGCCTTCCAATCTGCCTCCACATCGCCCCCTGGGGTACACAGAAATCTGGCCAAGTGAGTCCTGTCCCGGCTTGGGGCCTCCTGTCCTGGCCTCCTACCAGATCCTGCAGGGGCTGGGCTCTTCTGTGAGCCCCACACACACACACTCCAGGCCCTCCGCTGTCTGATCCAGTCACTTCTTCAGCTTTGTTATGGCTCTTCCCTGGCTCACTCTTTTATTTATTTGGGTTTTTTTTTTTATGTGCATGGGTGTTTGTCTACATGTATGCCAAGTGCCTTCAGAGGCCAGAAGGTATCAGATCCCCTGAAGCTGCAGTTACAGACAGCTGTAAGCTGCCATGTAGGCGCTGGGAATTGAACCCGGGTCCTCTGAAAGAACAGCCAGTGCTCTTAACTGCTGAGCCAACTGTCTAGCCCGCTAGCTCTCTCTTAGCTGTATCAAAACCCCAAACCTTTAATAGTGCACAGCACTAGATTCAGGTCATCCGAGGTTCCTGTCTCGATCACAAGACTTGAGTCCCCACAATAGCCCTTAGGCCCTTACAAACAAAATTTTTGGACTAGTGCTTGTGAACATTAATATGAAATAATATACCAAATTACACTCCATGGTGAACCTCTATAATCCAGCAATGCTGTCCGTTTTAAACATTTGTTGATTTAGTAGATAGTAATTCATTGCTATTTAGCTATTCAAACGGGATCTTACACAGTAGTTCAAGTTAGCCTTGAACTCAGCAGACCTTCCTCAGATGCTTAAGTACTGGCCTTAAGTACTTGGCTACCTAAAAAATTTGAGACCAGCCTGGACTACCTGAGGCCCCATTGCAAAAAACAAAAGGCTTGGCAGGGTGCAGAGCTGAGGTCTAGTTCAGTTGGTAGAGCGCATTTCCAGCTCTCGGAAAGCCCTGGTCGGTTCCCAGCACTGCATATAACCAGGCCTGTTTATCTCTGTAGGAGGCAGGAAGATTATTAGTTCCCAGTCATCATAGCAACATAGCAAGTTCAGGGCCATCCTGGGCTACATGAGCCCTTCTCTCCAAAAAAAGAGTAGTGGATTAGGGGGCTGTACCTAAGGACAGAGCCCTTGCCTGGCATGTGCCATTAGAGTTAGGGGAGAGTGTACACTGGCTAGCCAGTTATATCCCCGTTGTAAAGGAACAGCCTAGCAGATGCACTGATTTTCTGTTGTCCCGCTTTCCTGCTGCTTTCCCAGCCGTCCGCAGTCATTTCTCCCCCTGGTTTCACCTCTGTTTTCTGTCATGCCATTTCTCTTCCAGCAACTACTGCCTACAATTCCATGTCTGTCCCTCTGGTGTGCAGTCATCATCCCTAGGTCTTTGGTGTGCCTTTATTCTAACACTACCAAGGTGGCACTCTCTGCCTCTTTTGTTGTTTGGTTGATTGGTTGTTTGTTTGGTTGTTTGGTTGTTTGTTTGTTTGTTTGTCTGTCTGTTTGGTTGTTTGGTTGGTTGTTTGGTTGTTTGGTTGGTTGGTTGGTTGGTTGTTTGGTTGTTTGTTTGGTTGGTTGGTTGGTTGGTTGGTTGCTTGGCTCACTGTGTAGCCAGGCTGAGCCCATGACATTCAACACCAACCTCCTGCCTCAGCTTTTGAAGTGCTGGACTTGCAGGGGGGAGCCTCCACACCCAGCCTTATTTAACATGAGCAAACTGGGCTGGAGAGATGGCTTGGTGGTTAAGAGAACTGGCTGCTCTTACAGAAGATCCAGGTTCGATTCCCAGCACCCACATGGTGGCTCAAATCATCTGTAACTCCAGTTCCAGAGGATCTGACCTCTGAGGGCCCCAGACAGGCACCTGTTGCACATACACACATGCAGACAAAACATTTGTGCACATAAAATAAATAAACCTAAAAAAATCTTTTTTTAGTATTTTAAAATAAATATATAAAGGTGAGAATTGAGGCTGAGAGAGAGTAATTTGTCAAGATACGGAGTATCAGGGCTGGAGAGATGGCTCAGAGACCTCTGCTCTTCCAGAGGTCATGAGTTCAATTCCCAGCAACCACATGGTGGCTCACAACCATCTATAATGCATTCAAGTGCCCTCTTCTGGCCTGCAGGCATAAATCCAGGCAGAACACTGTATACATAATAAGTAAATCTTAAAAAAAAAAAAAAAAAAAAAAAGACAGGGCATATCAGAAGCCGGGCCTGGGGTCAGGCCTGAAGAGAGCTTTGTTCTTATCCCCGGACCCACCACTGCCTTCTCCCATGGACAGTGTGTTCTCTCTGCCCTGATATCTGTTCTCGGTTGTCAGCCGACGTTTGTCTTTTCTGTTTGCATTTTATCGGGAGGATTCTTTAGTCTTGCTCGTGGATTTTAAGTTGTCTGTGTTCTCTCCCTGCTTTCTTACCACGTCTCCCCCAGCTTCTTCCTTCTCCCCGGCCTCCGTGTCCTCACTTACAGGGGTCTTTCTCCCTGTCCTGTCCTCCTTCCCCCCGTGTGGCACCTCTAACCTAAGCCTGGTGGAGTGAATACTGTGCTGTAGACTGGGGGCAGCAGTGGGTGGGGAAGAAGAGTGAATGGCCTGGATAGAAAAGCAGTGGCCAGAGGCTGGAGAGGTGGCTCAGAGGTTAAGAGGTTAAGAGCAGTGGCTGCTCTTCCAGGGGTCCTGAGTTCAGTTCCCGGCAAGCTCTGGTGCCCTCTTCTGGCCTGCAGGCATACATGAAGGCAGAACACTGTATACAAAGCAGTGTGGCCATACTCAACTATTCATGAGGGATGGATGGCATAAGGGATTGAGCATGCGTAGAAATCTGGGTGAGTGAGGAGAGCCTGTGGTCTTGAAAAAGAGATTGGCTACTGGGAATGGTGACCTACACTTGTAATCTCAGCACTTGGGAAGTAGAGGTAGGAGGACTCTCCCAAGTTTGAGGCCATCCTGGCTACTCGGTGAGTTCTAGACCAGCCAGGGCCACAGAGTGAGAGGTAAAAACAAAAGCAGGGAGCAGGTGAAGGTGGGTTCCTGAGGGTGACAGTGGCCAGCCAGAAAGGCCTCCAGGCAAGTAGAAGCCAAACTGAGCCTGAGAACAGACCAAATCCACAGTGCCCTGCTGTGGCCCTCACCCTCCTCCAAATCATAGGTCATATCGCCCTCAAAATGTCCCTTCCTAGTGTGGGGGATGGGTGGGGGGGACACAGACGGGACAGGAAAGCAACAAAAATATCCCTTCCTTTCTCAAGTCCCACTTGTACAACGTAACTCCATGGGTAGCATAATGTAAAACTTGAGGGATGCTGGGATTGAGAAAGCCAAGGCAGGCGTGGCTCTCAGTGAGGCCCAGGAATGGGGTCTGGGCCTCTGGCCCTCCCTGATTTCACCTCTGCAGGCACGGGAGCCAGGGCCCATCTTGAAGTGTGACACTGGAGACTGACTCTCCCCCTTTGCCCATGGGCTGCAGGGTCCGTCGTTACCAGATGCTGCCGTCACCGCCCTGTGCCCCTCACTAGAAGCAACCTCTCCTCCTCACAGGCCCCTGTGGGCCTCCTCATCCTGCCCAGCTAAGCAGAGTGGGGCTGAGGGCACCTTACCTGGCTGTTCCTATAACCCTGAGAGCCCAGCCCACACTGATATTTCCCTTTTGAACCCAGGGCCATGCACATCCTGTGCGGGCACTCTACCATTGAGTTACATCTACTCAAATCTTCAAGCCTTTGCTTTGAACCCCACCAGTCTGGGTCATGCTGAAACTCCAGACCACCATAGAGTCCTGCAGCTGTGGCTTCTCCGCGTCCCAAAAAACTGCATGCAGACTAAGAAGAGAGGCAGAAGGGGCAGAAGATTGCTGGGACAGGGGCTGTCCGTCTGGGCAGTAAGCCCACCAAGGAGAAGGCAGAGACCCTTCCACAGCATTTCCTGGCCTGGGAGCCCTCAGAGATTTGGGGACCCCATTTCCCAGAGCTCTGGCCCACCTGGGCCCTTCCCCCCAGCCTTTCTCTTTGCTCTGGCAGTGGACAGCCGGGTGAGCCGGGAGCTGCATTACACCAAGGAGAAACTGGGGGAGGAAGCTGCCTACACCTCTCAGATGCTGATTCAGACCGCACGTCAGGAGGGGGGAAGCGTCCTCACCCCCGAGGCCCTGGGCCTGCACCTCCAGGCAGCCCTCACAGCCAGTAAAGTACAAGTGTCACTTTATGGGAAGTAAGTCTGGCTGAGCCCCCGGGAGGCTGGGCACGATGCATGCTGTGGAAGATCTTCTACCGGTCCCCTGTGCCCTGGCTGTTGCAGGTCCTGGGATCTGAACAAAATCTGCTACAAGTCAGGCGTTCCGCTTATTGAAAATGGAATGATTGAGCGGGTGAGTCCCCCAGACTGTTCCCAAGTGCTGGGCAGAGGCACTGTGGGGAGGCTCAGGGACTCCACTGGGGGTGGGGATGTTGGGAGGATTGCAGAGGGCATCCTAGGGGCGGGACTAATGTCACCTGGGGTGTCCTTGGCAGATGATTGAGAAGCTGTTTCCATGTGTGATCCTCACCCCGCTTGACTGCTTCTGGGAGGGAGCCAAACTCCAAGGAGGCTCTGCTTACTTGCCGTGAGTGCTGCCCAGCCCCTGGAGCCCCGTTTCATCTCCCGCCAGGGACTTCCCCCCACCCCGCACACAGAAGGGAGATGTGTGGGGGCCATGAATGAAAAGGATGGTGAGAGCCTTGCCAACAGGAGCAGCCTGGGCTGCCCAAGGCTCTCCACCTGCCTCTCCTCACCGCTGTGTTCTGCTTTAGACAGAACACAGACCCTCAGACAAAGATCTCTAGAGACTTTCCTCCTCGGGGAAGCTGACTGTCAACTGAATTGTTGCTTGGACTAAAAAGAAAGCCTGTTAGATGCGGGTGCATGTCTGGACATAGGTTAGAACCAAAGGTCAACTTAGTGTAGACTAGTAAGGCTTTTCTGGACCTGTCCACACATCAGTCACATACGTTCCAAGGTCTGTCTCAGCCCTTTAGTGGCCAGAGCTCACCGCAGCAGCTTGGTAGCAGAGGCAACCCAAGCCTTGCCCACTCTCCTCGTGGAAGAGGTCCTTGAAGTGAAGCAGGGGCCCACAGCAGCAGTCGGGGGCAGGCACTGATTTCTGACCTTCACTAACCGCCGGCTTCCCCCAGGGGCCGTCCTGATATCCAGTGGACCAACCTGGATCCCCAGCAGCTGCTAGAGGAGCTGGGCCCCTTCGCCTCTCTGGAAGGCTTCCGGGAGCTGCTAGAGAAAGCACAGGTGGGCCAGGCCTACGTGGGGCGACCTTGTCTGGACCCTGATGACCAGCACTGCCCTCCCAGTGCCCCCAACTATCACAGCAGGCAGGTGGGTTCCTGCCAGGTCTCCTGAGAACAGACAGTTTCCCAACCTTCTTTCTTCGCTGTGTGTTTCTATGTTCTGAGAGGTGTTCTGCCCACCTCCGTTTTCTGGAAACACACACACACACA